CAGGAAGATCACCTTTGTCACCAATGGATTGGTCAACAACCTCAGCTCTTATGGAGCCGATGTCTTCTCTATGTGCAGCGGACTCACCACCTACATGGCTTACGAASTTCACGGTGAGTGCAARCAAGGTCTGTAAGTGACCTGGCATTTGTTTCCCTTGGAATGACTAAGGTACAATTGCTGCTTTTCTACCTTGATATTGACAGAAACTAAGCAACAAACATACATCCTTGCAGAAGAGCACCCATTGTTCAGGGAATGGGTATAAATCTGCTGAGTTGGTCTTAGTTTCTTAGTCATAAAAGTTCTTGAATTGAGGTAAAAAATACATTATTTTGAAAAATATTGAATTTAATTATTTTACTCTGAGGTGTTAATCCTGSAGTAGCATCTAATACTCTGAGCCTCTCTGGACATTGACAGTCTCCAGTTCTCTTTGTGAAAACACTCTACTGTTCAGGCTCCAGATATTGCAGTCTGGCATAGCAAAATTTTCACCTACTGACTTTAAGCATTGCTCTGGCACCTGGGAGGGCTCAGTGTCATGGTAGAAGTGAGTGCCAGGTATTAAGGGTTGTCAATGAATGCACAGAACACATAACAGCATCTAATTCAGTGCCTCTTTTTTTTGTCACTRTATAGTACCCCAGCAGAATCTCGGATCATGTATTTCACTTGCTGTSCTCAAACTTGTGGACCTGAATTATTGTCGTGGTAGTATCAAGGCCTGAAAACCTTACCCTTCTTGAACCAAGTACAGAGGCTCCAGAGCCACTGCCTGAAGCAAACCCTGATGCCATTCTTCCCTTGCATCTCCTTTTAGAGATGCCCTTTTTGGGGTTATAAATGCTGAAACAGATCAACTGGTGACCAGATCTTTAAAATAAAGTTTTTCGTTTTGGATTAACTCCAGCATATTTGTCATTACTCTATCCTTTTTTGTCTATGAACACCTCCAGAAAAACATTTCAATCCTCTCCCTTCTCCCCCAGTTGAACCCTTTAATTGCTCTTTTCATTGSCAGGTGTCAATGCAGAGCCCATCCAGAGAGTTGGGCAAGCCCCTGGGTGTGTAAAGTACAAACTAGGCATTCAGAGCTAAAACCTTCCTTCCCCATTCAGGGAAAGATGCCTCACATTAAAATCTTGATTCACATAGAACAAAAGGCAGAAGGAAAGAAGAGCAAAGAAATGAATTTGCCTTTTTTTTTAGGGGAAGCAGGGTCTCCTTTGTGGGATTTACAGAGTTGTTCTGTTCCTAAAGTAAAGCCAGGTTGGGATTCCTGTTGTTCAAAATTTAACAATCCAGATTGAGTTATTTCCTCTTCTCTAACAAAAATGCCAGGATACCCCAGGTTATCCAGGTCAACACAAACCTGTCTTTAATACAAATACCAATCACACAACATCCCTCATTTTCTGATGGTCTCTCACTGCCCCCAGATGCTTTATTCTGTAGCAGATTGAAAGCATGCAGAGTTCACTGAGGCAAAGGCATCTGAATTACCTGGCTGAGCTCACATAAGTCCTAGCAGAGGAGAGACACAGGCAGGAGTTTGTTGCTGCCAATCTCCTTCCTTCTTGATATTACACAAATTCTTTTAATTCCTCCACCATCCACCAGCAGTTTATCACTTTAATTCACTGTATTTGACACGGTGAGCAGAGTACAAAGTGGATGTGAAAGACAAAAAGCTGAGTGCTCTGCTCACAGCACTGGCAGACCTCGGCACTCACGGAGCCCCAGCAAGGCCCCACACAGGGGCAGAAGGACAGAGTGTGGCCCTGAGCAGCACAAGGGAGGATTTGGCCTCCCCTTCTCAAAGCAAGGAAGATCCCGTGACTTGTCCAGGAACAGCTGCAACAACCAACCTCATCCGAGGAGCATGGCAGAGGAGAAGAGTGTTCAGAGACATTAGTTCAAAGTGAACACCAAGTCCCATTTGCACCCT